AAAATGCTGCATGTTCGAAGCATAAATCAGAGCCATTGTGCTCATACCATACGCAATGCATAACTTTCTCCAACTGCCCGTGTTGCTTTTTCCCCTTTATGCAGATTATTTACCAGCTACTCGGTACGTGGCGTAGGGAAACCCCTGATACCGGCAGCCAGATTACGCCACCTATGGTCAGACACAACTACAGAAGATGTAGGAAGCCGGGCAAGACATGCAAAGACACATTAGAAACTGATACTAACGCATGGTTGGCGATGGAGAACTAGAACTTTTCAAAAGACGGCGTCGGTCCGGCCGCTCCCCTTTTCTGTTCTCCAACTATCGGATCATTCTGACCTAACACGAGTGGGAGCGGCAAAAAAAAATTCCGTCTTTACTGCGAAAGCCCGAGATCTGCAAACATGGGCTCATTTTGCGCAAAGCCAGTTTGTACACATGTCGGCTTGACCTCGCGCCGGGATCTTGATTATCGAACGATTACTGCTCGGCGAAACTTGTCGGAAATGACCAAACTCGCAAGCCCCAGACGTATGTATGTATGTCTGCGGAGTATGGGAAAATTTTTCTTTCAAACCCAACGGCGACAACAGCCTTGATGCCGCCTAATTGTGTTGGCTACGCGAGACCGGCTTACGCCGCTCGAGTACCCCAGTCGTGCCGGCAATGTTGGTTGTCTGGGGTCTTTTGCCAGCCGCTGTCGATCCATCCAAGATATGGAAAAAAGGGGAGGGGCCGAAGCCTTGTGGTTCAATGCCTTTTATTAGCTACAAGAAAGGCCAAGAAGTATGCATTTGGAAACGTAATCCCGATGGGACTCGATGCCCCTGAAATTAGGAGCGGTCGGGCTCCATCAAAGTACATCTGCAAATGCAACCAGGACGCCACTTCAGGTCATATGCATGAGAAAAGGGGTTTGCGTGAAGTATGTCAAAATATCTGGTGGGAGGGCAAGAATTATTTAACCAAGTCAAGTACCTCGTTATCACGGTCCATGTTATCAATTTACTAGAGTATATTAATGCATACCAAAATATCACAAGTATATTAAAGTACTTGCTGTTCTAAATCTTTATATTCAGTGTTCTTTTAAGCGGGTGATGAAGATTGACCGAGCAGGACGACTGCCCACGTCCGCATCTTTTGCCGCCCATAATGGTAATCTTTGTTATTTTCGCTCCAGTCTTGAAATCCATCGATCGTATCTTGCTGTGAAGCCTGCCGCCCTTATAACGGAACTCGATGTACGAATGCGGCGGTTTGTGCAAAGTCTCCCCGTCGTCCAAATACAACACTCCTTTGGCCCTGCCGTTGGTGCCGACAGCAACCAACAGTTCGAAATCCTGCTGGCGAAGCTCGGTCGTCGTCATGGTAGACCTGGCACGCATGGGAATGATTTGACCACCTCGGATAAAGAGCGGGATATCGGTGATGGTCTGGTTTGTTCTCGTGGCGTACTTTCCTGCGCCGAAAAATTGCTCGTGCGTGTAGAAGTCGTAGAAGACGTCGGTGGGGAAGTAGATTTTCACACTCGTAGACCCTTGGTCAGGCACTGGCGCAACGAGCAATGAAGGCCCAAAGAAGTACTGCATGTCCAAGCCCCAAGTGTTTTCATCCTTGGGGTAAATGTAGAACATGGGATTGATAGCCGGCGTCCCGTCAGAACTCTGGGTCATCAAGGCCGTGTAGAAGTAGTCGAGCAGCCTGTACCGAATGTCAATCGCCTTCTTCGCCGCCTGGGTGACGGAAGTCCACCGGTAGAACTCCTGGTCAATTTGTCCCTCGGCATTGTGGTTACGGTAAAACGGCTGGAAGGCGCCGAGCATTGCCCACCGCGCACAGAGCTCCTCAGTAGTATCCTTGTTGAAGCCGCAGACGTCGGATCCAACCATGGACACCTGGAAGATGGAATTGAACTGCAGCATTTGCCGAATGCTCAGGCGGTAATGCTCCCAGCTAGAGTCATTGTCACCCAGCCAGTGCGCGGCAAGGGCTCCTGAGCCAGCAAAGGTAGAACGTGTGACGATGAAGGGACGCTTGTGAGAACGCATGGCGATCAGGGCTCTGCGTGAGGCAGCAGCCATCATGTGTCCGTAGAGATTGTGCGTGTCAAAGACAGTGAGGCCGTTGTTGTGATAGATGCTCGTGTTGATGCTCTTTTGCGACAGCATACCCCAGGCGTTGTTGATGGTGTAGGGGGGGTTGATGAGATCACGATTGTCGAAGCCTAGAAAGGAGGCTTTGTACTCTGGTTTGACTGCCTCTTGCGTGGCGAAGTAGAGCGTAGGTATAGATACCATAGGCTCTGGGAAATAGAGCCAGGTGGCACGGGGCTTCTTTCGGGACGAGAGGGGCTTTTCTATATCCTTTTCGTCGCATTTTGTGCCTGGTGGCTGGAAGTCACAAGGCCACCCAGGTAATTCTCTCGGCGGCGCCCGAACAGGCGGCGGTGGAGGCGGGTACTGCAGAGCTACGTCTTCAATGTCGTTGCACGGGAAGTCGCAAAAGTTGGACGGCTCGTTCATGTCTATCCACAGGTAGTCAATGTCAACGCCTGTTACAGGGTTAAAGAAGGTATCGAATTCCTTGTTCCAGTATTCTTGGATGGCAGGGGCGAACCAGTCCGGGTAGACGGTGCGGCCGGGCCACACGACACCTTCGTAGGGTAACCCTGAAGAGTTGACGAGGAAGGACATTGGCCACGTCTTGCCGTTGTTGTAAGGGCCATAGTCCTTGACAGCAATTCCAGGATCGAGCATCATGACAAATTTTTGCTTCCTCGAGTGGAGATGCTGTACTAGCTGACGCATTTTTTTCAGGGGAAACCGCTCAGGGTCCAGGGAGAAGGCCTGTCGCAAAGTTAGCATCGTGTGAATGAGAAGACGAGCATATGGCGGAAAGGGGGGCCTGGGAGTCACGAACAGCCCGGCCATCCATGTAGTCAATATCCGTCCACATGGTTTCAAGAGGAATACCAGCTTGGCTGTAGTTGTGCACGACTTCAGCAACGTTGAACACATCTTGGTAGCCCCATCGACACTGGTGAAGTCCCAACGCAGCGTAGGGCACCAAGGCTGGCGGCTTGGAGACCTCGGAATACTGCTTGGCCACGTCAATGGGCGATTCTCCAGCAAAGAAGTAAAAGTCGAGCACTCCGCCGAGGACATTGTACTCCAAGTAGGCACTATAGGGATCGCTGTCGATTACGATATCCATGCCGTTCGAGTTGAGCAAGAAGACGCCGTGGGTTCCCTTTTGACGATGCTCCATGTACACGGGGTGACTTCCGTAGAGATTCCAACCAGCAGGAACAGAAGGGGAATCGGCATTCCACAGCGTACGCGTATAGTTGTTAGTCTTTAGCCGGAAGGAATCAGAGTGTTCCCCAAGGCCGTACAGGTTAGGATTCACGGGTAGCGAGGTTCGCAGACGAATATATTGGTCCTCAAAGACCAGCCCTGCCGCAGAGGAGTCGAAGAGGATCGTTGCGTCCTTGGTGCGAACAATTCTGAATGAGAACGGGTATTCCGTGTACTCAAATTCCAAGAGTGGCGATCTGCGATGCCTCACTTTGTTTGGCCGCGTACGGGGAAAGGCAAATTCGGGAATTTGGTAGGCTTCCTGTTTTGCATCATAGATTATGACGTGAAGGCGCGTGGCTGCATGGGCGCTGGTTAACTCTCGTTTTCTGCTTGTTACCATGAAGCAAATTATGTATACTCACGAGTTTCAACTATGTGCTTGACCCTTAGGTTGGGGATATCCTTGCCATAGACGTTGCACGGTTCGCCAGCGAGTTCCAACTCGATCAGTCTGGCCGATTCATCATCTATCTCCACTAAGCGGAACCAGTCGTCCCCCATCAGGACGTCCCTCGTCGCTCTGTAGCCAGGGCATTCTCTCAGACGATCGCGTGTATTCGGTTTCACAGTAGCAGCTGTCCCGCCAAGGGCAAACAGGAACTGAATAACTGTGCTAGCTTTCATTTTTCCTGGCTTGGGTTAGTATGAAATGAAAGGGAAAGGGATGAGGAGGAACAACAAGGGACCAGGGACATTTATACCTACCAAAGAAAAAAAAACAAGTTATACTAGAGTATACTAGGTTATACTATGATGTGCTAGGTAATACTAAAATATACTAGCACACACTATAGTATGCTTAGAATATGCTTAATGATGAGCAAATATATCTGCTGTAGACTGCATCGAGCAATCGGCAGGTCGCCCCTAAAACGCGCTGATAACGTGAATGAACTAGTCTGGCCGAGGCAGGGGGGAAATTCAATAGCGAACAATCAATGATGAACAATATTCACCTCCGAGTGCGTCAATATTGATCAAAGGGGCGGAGGTGCGGAGGTGCACAAATGCGAAGATGCCAAGTCGCCAAGGAAGGTGCGTCTCGTCTGTCGTTGCCAGGTTCCCCGCAAGTTTGAGCGTGTACGGAGTAGATCCCCTGTGTGATGGCGTAGGCTAAATCGGAGGGCCCACTCGCCAAGCACCACCATCGGGTCGACGGGCCCCATCGCCAAAGGTTCGGAGGAAAAAAGGCACCAGGGTCGGTCGGTGGCTTGGGAGGTTGATTTCGTTTCCATTTGGGGCACTCCTTCCCATGTATTACACCACACGCACATAAACATCCTTGGTGTGGCTTTGGGCCGCACCTTCCACTTGCCGAACAAACTCTATGCAGACGAGTGCCAGATCACACTCGGTAGACCCGAACCATGGCTTGGCAGTCCCATTTATGAGGCATCGCGTGCAGCAAGACTGAGCAAGGTCGGAGCCAAACACACACTCACTTATCCCGGTTCACGCATCATGATTGCATGAGCCATGTACCGACAAAATACTACCATTCATGTACGGAGTAATCGTGGTCTAGTCGGAACTTCTTCTCACCACACGAAGTTTGTACACAATCCATCCCCCGTGGCCAAAGCTGACTGAACCCTACTTTCCACACTTGTTCGCCCACCAAGCCATCCATCCATCTTACAATGGAACACCACCACGACCAACACCACCAGGAGCCACGCCGGCCACGGCACTGGGTACAGCACTCGGCACGGCACTTGGGAGACTGCTCGGATTGCTGGGCAGGCTACTGGCACACGCAGAAAGCTTCGCCATGCAACCGCTGCTAGTCAGCTCGGCAGGGAGGCCGTTAGCAGCGCCAATGAGCACATCGAGACTCCCGGAGGTCAGGGCCTCGGTAAACCCATTGACAACCTTGTCGACGCTGGAGGTGCACTCCTGCGGGATAGCAATACACTACACAGGGGGCGTCAGTCAGTCAGTCGGCCAGGGATGGGGCATATTCCAACTTCAGCTGAAGGCGCTCACCTGGCCCGCCGTCTGTCTCCTGAGGACCTTCTTGATATCATCTCCTTGCTGCATGGAGTACTCTTCACGCGTGCGCTGCACACCCTGGGTCACGGCCAGGGCGGCGGAGGCAAGCACAGTGGCCATATAGAAGAGCTTCATATTGGCGATTTGTTGAAAGAAAGAAAAAAGAAGGCTGTTATATAAGTATGATGACCTCGATGGAATTTCCACTGGCGATTTCTCCAACGACTGCTCGAAGATGGAGACGAGAAAGGGGGGCCTCCTTTATACCAGCAAGCACGGCTCTTATTTCCGCTTCTACCACCCAACTGGTATGCAACGTCTTTCTAAAATTAAAAACGGCGTTTGGGGAACCTCTCTCGAGGCGCATATCGAGACAGCCTTTCCGGTACTCGTATACAAAAGCCAGCATTAATCCCGTCCTGGTTTCCAAGTGGCCCGCTTTTGACGTTCTTCGTTGCTTCAACGCTCGGCCAGACCTCTTCCGTTACTGTCGTTGCACCTCACCTTGCCGAACTGCGGTATGCTCAGGGACGACAAGGACGTGTTGAATCGGCAAACACATTACCAAGTAAGGTAAAAAGCCTCGCCATTTTCCCTTGAAAAGTGCCGGCTACGCCGCTGCGGCCAACGCAAGCCACAGTTCGAGGCAGCCATGTCCGTGGAATGTAGGAGCATCGCGATCCCTACCAAGGCATTTAGTCGCTGAGACATGCTTCCCCCAAGGCCATCATCGACCTTGTGCAAGCTCTTTAAATTAGTGTCAGAGAGGCGTTACAAGATGTCTCTCTTTCCACTTGGAGAAAATTCCTCCCTCGCCCTGCTTGAAGACATGTAACACTAGAGTTCACCACGTACATGCGCACTTCGGCGGCGATGATCCTCTCCAGCCTTCTCCATTTGACTAAGTCAATCATGGTCAATCATTGCTTGGCTTAACTCGAGATGACATTCTTTTTTTGTTGCCGTGTGTGTCATTTCCACAAAGAAGGAGAGCTTTCGTCGGTACCAAACGTCATCAAAACGCTCCTGGATGTAAGCCCTCCGATTTCCGAAATTTTCAGTCATTGAATTGCGGAATGAACACAAAAGACGGAGGATTATCGCAAGACCCCCATACAAAGCCGCTTCAGCCGGTATGTTGCTGACTCCTCACTATGGACAGGTAGGCGGTCTCGCTAAGCCCAAAAATCTCAAAGAATAGCCGAGTCAAAAAAACATTGTCCATCGTAAGGCCTCTCAAAGATATGTTCCTTAGAAATTTCCCAGATACCATATCATGGTACGATTGGGCTAGCATGTGAGAAGTCTTGCACCATCTCCATGCCGTCGTCACAAGGCTTGCTACCCAAAGCACAAAGTTATTATGAGAAACCTTCTCGCAGCCCAGGTTACTGGCTTCCCGTTACTCGCTCTGTGCTCCAATTCCTACGCCATCATTTCACGATTAGTCGTCACTGACGCAACGTATGTTACAGGTGTTTTTATAGCAAGTGTATTTAGCTAGTTGAAGTATGTAAGCAAGTAGTTAACTAAAAAAAAGACCTCCGCCGCCATCTCCCGCCAAACCGGTCACCCCTTTTGTTGTTCTTTGTTGTTCCTCTTCCTACGTCTCCTCGCCAAAAAACTATTTTTGCAGTCTTTCCATCAGATATACCACATGGTACCTCTGAAAAATTCTCTCTGACGCATCTCACCATCGGCAGGAGGTTTGTCCCCTTCTGGCTTCCCTCCAAGCTGGAGCAAAGGAGGCGCGTCTATTCCTCGTGCAGGACCTCCCATGGTCTGCCCCATTGCAACTTGGTCACGTATCATTTCGTGAGCCTTGGCACCAGCCCTAAATCCTTCGCTAGTGGCAATGTTTTCGTGTGCTCGTGCTCGAGCACAAGCCAAATGAGCGTAGTAAACGGCAGGATGGAGGGAAACGGGTGTTGTTGAGCGGGCGTAGGAATAGCATTGATAATAAATCATCTTCTGCAAGTCATTGACTGGAATTCCCATTTCATCCAGGATGACATGATAATGTACCGGCCGTGCCGTACCTTGGATGGCCACGTGTGAACACATGTAAAAATCCCACATGAATGGATGGGTTATCTCCCTTTCAACAATAGTTCCAGGCAATGCATTGGCATTTCTGTCTCCCTTCTGTGGATAGAAGCGGATGTGATGTCTTTTGGTGGCAACGATCACCGTGAACTTGGGGAGCTGCGCATTTGGTGCTTTCTCCCGGAGATAGGTCTTGATCTCGCGAATTTCTTGGTCCAGGACTTGAGCAAATTGTCCTTCCGACACACCATCTCGAAAGTAGATGATATGCTTGGGAAAAGCGCCCTCATGACCAGCCATCCAATATTTGGCCAACTGCCCGAACATAACATGAATATTGGCAGCGGTAAGCATCTCCACACGATATCCGTTGGTTTCCACCATAGCGGCATACCTGTTTGCGTCTCGATCAATAGACATGGTCATGGCACCAGTAGATGGCGAGCCACCTCCAGGAGCCCCGTGCGAGACGTCAACGCCAATAATCATTGTTGGGCGATCCTTGGGAAAGTAGGTCGGCGAGCTTTTCCATGGAGGAAGTGTGCGAGAGGTAGCTCCCCCAAGCTTGGCATTGACCTTCATACACACATTAGAGTGGTACTGTCCATTGTTGTTGGCGACCGCCGAGCCATTGACAACCTGAGAAAGTATGCCAAATCGGCAATCCGCAGATTTCTTGAGTCGTTCATAATGCGGGCTGTTCTTGTGCTGAACAACGACGAAGAGCAGTTGCGTATATCCCTTCTGCTGACAGATTTGCTTATGGGCCCAGGCTATGGCTTGAGCGACATCATTTTTGACGTCTCCAGGCACGTTCAATAGGAGGGCATCTGCTGGGCATTTTCCCCCATGTGAAAGGAATGTGTTACGGAACGTTTTCGCAAAGTTTTGCAACTGCGGGTACCCAACACAGGCATCCATAACGATAAACGCCCAGTTCTGCAACGGCGCAACGTTCTGTTTCCAGAACTTCTTACCACGAAGATCCCAGCGACCAGCAAACTTGGGGTCTGCGTTTCCCTGGCCAAAGTTGACTTGTGGGGGAGGTAGAATCCGAGCATCGGTCTTGGTGAATGTGTTTTCAAATTCCACTCCATACATTTTCAAGTATGGATCTGCCGAGAGTTGAAGGCCCTGGTAGTTCCTTTCAGTGTCAGACCGACGTTGCTGAGGCCTTGTGACTGCAATTTTGATCATGGCAGCCGTTTGGTCAGGCGTCAGCTTGAAGGCGTAACGCTGCATGGGCTCAATGATGGCAAACTCCATTGGAATACATCCCGCCTTTCCAGCAGAGATAAGAGGCAAACTGGGGTATTTCAGATGCACCTTATACTTTTGCTTGTAATAGTCGGCAACAGAAATCTCAGTTCCATTGTATTCAAAAGTGTAAGTCCTGGCCGTGGCGCCTTCGCCTCCATACTTTTGATCGAAACAAAAGTCCATGATGGTATACACTTTGTCATTTGCAGGTCGATTGGCGTGCCTGACAGTAAATTTGAGCTTTCTCAGTTTTCGCAAATGCTTGAATGCATCCGATGACTGATATTCACCTTTTTGGTTTCGCACAGGTCGAAGCACCTGACTGATAGTCGAAGGATTGAGGCCTTTCCATTTGCGATCGCACAAAGCGAGGAAGTTACACATGAGTTGGTCGACTGGCTGTGGCCCAGTCCAGAATACGGTGTTGGCAACATCGACGTTTAGAGCCAGGCCGGTTCCGCCACGAGTAATGTTGTGGCTCATGCGAATGGATGCGTAAGTCCCTTTGTGAACTTCCAGTACGTGGCCATCCAAAAGAGGTCGACCATTTTCCGAGGCACTGTAGAAGTTTCGCTTAATGGCAGTCATGTGTTGGGATGGCCTTTGGCGTAAGAGATGGTCCATGAAGTTAAGGGCCACCTGGACGTTGGTGTTGAACTGGATCTTACGATCCAAATAGCCTTGAATAGCGCCAATATGGACTTCGGTTGTGGCCCGAATGGTCACATGAAACTGAGCTCCGTCTCGGGCCTGCACACCTGGTGGTCGTTTGCCTTCGTCCAAGTCGACAGTGAAGCGAAGTTCGCCACGATCGACCTTGCCCGGGGCCCAAGCAAGTTTACGACCATCAAAGATCCACATGCCGTATTGGTACTTCTGCAACGCAGTCTTCGTAGCTGCGTTTGTCCAAATTTTTCTCATCAAAACAGACTTTCTTTCATTGTCTGGGGAAATGATCACCTATGCGTTGTTTAGCCGCTGTTGTTCAGATAAAAAAGGTAAGAAAACTCGACATCTTACGTCGTATTGATAGATCTTTTTCGAGAAATCGAACTTTTTCATTCGATACTGGTTAACTTCAATAACGGCATTGCTACCTTCTGTATTGAATTTGTTGCCTCTCAAAGCAAATATGTCCTTCTGCCCTTCGGTCACGTAGGCATCCGGAGGGAGCTCCATCCTGGTGTTTCCCTTATCAGGCTGAGTAGCTGGTTTGGCGGGATCATAGCCAGGGCCAGCGACCCATCCAGCAGAGGCCGGACCTGACCGCGAAGGCGAGCCGGTTCGACTCCCTGGAGCAGAACCTTGAGGAGCCCTGGAAGGGAGGCGAGAGCCAGACGAGTCCTGCCCGGAGGGGCCTGGAGACCGGCCACGATCAGACATGGTGATAGAGCTATAGAACGTTAGCTTACTGAAACAAAGGGGAGCAAATCACAATATCGCCAGGGAATGTAGAGGTATCCACATCCGGGAAGACTCTACAGAGAGTCGAATACCCTGAATGTTGACAGGAGAAGATGGTGAATGTAGTGAACTTACTCGGCCTGCCAATTCAAAATGGGAGAAACCAAACGATGAGATCAGCGCAAAACTATACGAAGCAGTCTGCTGGAACCAATGAAGTTAGCTCACCGATTGCTGAAACAGTGAACGAAAGCAGCAATAGGAAACATTGATGTAGGTTTGAACCCAGCCTGCAAAATGAAGACCGAGCAGTCAAAATCTGGCAAAAGCCTTTTCTTTTTCGGTCTTCTTCTTGGTTGAGATGAAAAGGCCGTATCCTAAGGCAATTTCCACGAAGTGAAGCGTTCAAACAACGAGATACAGCA